GGACTATAAAAATAGAGTTATTGTTAAGCATTAAATTTAAATTCGCATCCTTTCTTCTTATCTTAAATAACTAATAAATAATAGTGAACGTGAAGTGAGTTGACACTATAGGCTTTTGTGCTTGCATATCCCGTACGATTAATTCTTTTTTTTTTTTTTTTTTTTTTTGTCAAACATAACCGAAGCACCGACAACAACAATGCAATCAGGTAAGAGAAAGAATTGATACATAAAAGGCATTCAAGAAGTTATTAAGTTAGTTATCGCAATAGGGTCCAAAAATTATGCGTAAAGACAAAAGTATTTCTGCCGCTGACAGATATGCATTCTGCGTCTTTTTTTTCTTTTTCTCTTTTAACTTGTTTCTAATCATTCTTTCTTCCTTTCTTTCAACTTGTTTCCAACCGTTAATTACCTAATTTTGTGGTATTTTCTCAAGTCTTCAATTTCTTGTAGTCTTTTTGAGTGGCTTAAGGTGGCATTTAGAATTATAAGAATAGGGTCCCTTGAGAGACGGAAGCTGGCTTCTTTGCTTAACTCTAATCAACTACGTGCTTTTACAACGAATCATACCACGATGTGACTCTCGATCACTTATAAGAAGTTATTAAAACTTTATTGCTTTTGCTATACGCTCCACAACTTCTGGTACAAAGGCATATTAAATTTGTACACTGATGTACTGATCGACTCAGAGAGTAATTCGATTCACAACATCATAAGATAATCGCATTGCTTTCTGAGCTTGTCTGTCCGTCGACCTATTCTGTTTCGTTATGTTCAACCTTTACGCCGGAGTTTTTGGGATATTTTGATGAAATTTGCAATATTAGAGTGTTTTGGGTCAAGGACGCACCTTGTCGAAAATGTTTCCAATCTATGTCCATTATTCTTGCTAAGCAAACTTTATTTTATTGCGCCGAGTAAAGATTCCAGATATTCCTCTCGCTGACGTTTCTCACAGAGCCAATTATGAGTGTTATCCTCCTTTCCTGAGTTCTGCAATAAGAACTTTAATGCTAACTATCATTTATTCATTACTTCTAACAGAATCTGTCCAGCGTTTGTGGCTCAATTACTAGCTTAATTGCCACCTGTCAGTCCATGCCTCATTTCATTGTCGTTATTGTGATCTTTTCTTTTCGCTTTTTATCTTCTTCCTCAGAGCTACTTTAGTGTTACTTTTAACCGCAGCATTTTATACCCCGCTCGCGAAAAGAAGTGCACGTATTTATATTGGCGGAACGTCTATTATATCCAAAAGAAAGCTTCGGAGAGCCTATACATACTTTTGGTTAGTATCAAATTATGAATTGAGCTGTACGTGTCTGTCCATCTGCCCACTTCTATATTATCTGGGGAAAACAATCTTCTGGCAGCAAAAATTATGCTATGGGCTGCAAATATAGCGCCAACATTCGAAGTTCTTGCACGCAGATTGTTATTGAAAATGGTTCAAGTTACTGTGCAACATAAACTGAGAACACCTCTGCTTTGTGAGTTTATGTTCATTACTCATAAACTACATCGAACAAAGGATAAAATGCAACCACTCGCACCTCTCTTTTTCACTTTAGTTATGTTCAACAGAAAGGTGGTAGGTGCGTAAAAGATTCGGTGATAGCCGAATATAATTTTCTTACTTGTTTTGAATTAGTTTTTAAGGATTTTTTTTGAGTGAATTTATGTTAACCTTCGTGTACAAAACGTGTGGATTGCTGGCTGCTTTTACCCAAATGGAACGAAACAAATAAATAAATGTGCTATATGTTACCGCACTGTCTACTGTGGGCGTGGTCGCAGGTGAAACACTCTCGTTTCTTCATTTATAGCATAATTTAAACATCTTTAGAGAAGTTGCTTTAAAAATGATTTTACCCCGAAAATTAATTAGTGGTTAATACACAGAAGACTCTCCCATAGCATCCGAAAATTGCATTGTGTTATACAAATCCATGCTGTGCGAATCACTTAGATTATACAAATACCTGATGTTCGCAGCCTAAAGCGATTAGCTTACTATTACGCTTAAAATAACTTTCTTTAACAACCGGGCTTAAAATACTGCGTACGCAGCAACAACAATTTTTATGGCTATTCTATACTAAACGCAGCGAAAAAAATAAATCAATACATAATTTCTACTTTTGTTTTATAGACTGGATCATTATATTAACGCTTGGAGCTAAAGGGTATAAAAATCGTAACATCTGTCTCAATCTGTTGCCGTGTGATATGAGCCTCTTTTACCAAGTTTTCTTCCCGGCTATTAATGGTCGTAGCTGTAGAGCATGACTAGTCGATAAAAATATAACACTTGCCGATTAGACGCACACCCAGTAAGCTGCGACTGTTGTTTTCTATCTCCATCGCTTTCGCGCATAGAGGATATACCCCGAACGATCAGTCACATGAAAAAATAAATAAAAAAATCTCCACTTTTTTAAGTACACCTCGTGCTTTGATACCCAAGCAATTGACGGGATTATAAAGTTCATCATTTTATTGAAGCAGATTAAGCCTTTTAGACGAAATCAGTATAATCGCAATGATTGTAAACTTCTTTCTTCGCTTCTTTTTGCATGGTCCTAACGTCTCAACGATGAGGATATAAATCTAAGACTCAACGTTCGTAAATCATATTTGAAAATGAACGGAATTTACTAACCAATCTGCTCTCCGAATAAGCAAAAAACTAAAGCTAAAATCATAAAGAACAATTTTTTATTCCTTCTCTTAAATTACTTTGATAATTAATTTATTGATTTAAAGCCATATTAGGGATTTAAGAGCATTTGCTGAAACTGGTTTGGTTTGATTTGATTGTAAAAAAAGAAAACCCATAACTTATCGCAAAGGCAATCGTTAGACGTTCGGTTGTAATTATAAAATCAGTCACATAAAGTTGTATTTTTACTAGTTGTTATGATGCTGGAAATTAAAATTCTTATGTCCATTTCGTAGTTACAGCCTTTCTCAAACTTTATTATTATTAACGGATCATAAAGTAGTAATAAAAAGCAAGTATTCATACTCGATAACGAAGTAATCCATAGTAAAAATATGAAAACAAGTTTAACTAAGCAAAACGTTGCTACTTAAGTTTCCTTGTATCGTTTACCTTGTAGTTAAAATATCTTTCATTGCTAAGCTTAAGTAAGATCAAAGCCAATGATGCGAGTTTATGCAAATCCAAATATATATACACACACACACACACATATATATATATATATATATATATTGAACATTTGTGTTACTTTTTTAAGAAGGACTCCAAATATGTTTTCCTACAATAAACTGATAAAAGATTAAAGATGTACATTTTGTACAAAGAAGTAAAGAAAAAAGTAGCATTAAAGCGAATCTTTGACACTCTTCTTTGATGTTACTTTAATTTCACTAAAAATAAATCTTATACCTCTTGCTCTCACCGCACACATGTCATATGCTTACATTCTTAAGCACAAAAGCAGACTGATTGATGTATGATTTTTTTCGCCACAAATAATCGCTACATACGCTATTAAGACGCAGAGGTTATGGGTGAATCACTTAAATATTACTTTAAATGAATCACCAGCCAAGCAAGCAAGTCAAGCTAGAAATGACTGGAATCTCTTTCTCTTTTAATAGCTTACTAGAAAAAAGATTTGAAAACACCCGACGAAATTTTTATATGAAATCAAAATTAACAACATTTTACTTTAGGCGTAAACAAGCATTTTATATATACTTATCAATTAATGGAATCGAACTAATTTATTATTGTAGAACCAAATCACTGCGCACTCATTTCGAACAGAATTCTAGAGGAAAATATCATTCCGTACAATCATAGGGCATAGATTAAGTTATTTAACTTTTTTATATGAACAAGACTTATAACATTTTATCTCTAAAACGTAGGACACCTATCGAAATCTAAAACGTACGAAGTGCTTTTGAAAACCTCGTTTACACTCTCCTGCAGCAAATAATTTGTTCCTAAGAGGCGGACTTGTAACATTTTGCCTTTGAAACAAAGGAAACGAACGAAACTCTAAAACGTATTAGGCCCTTGGAAAAGGTTCTTTACAATCTGTAACTTGTAACTTGTTTGTGTAGAAAGACGGCTTGTGACATTTCACCTGTGTAGCCTGTTAATCTTTTTTAAAAGTGCGCTAAAAGAGGACAACATACCCGTAAGAAATAATAATTTATTTGAGTTATTGTTAAAATCAAAAGTCGCCTTTTAAAAATGGCTAAAAAAAGGAACCCATTGCAACCATGTGTATAGAGATGTATTTCATTTTTTTATACAAACAAGACTTATAATATGCTGTTTCTAAAGCATAGGAAACGCCCACTTTCCTTTTTAACAAAGAAAGACTGAAAAATCTTTCTTCAAAAATCTATAGCAAATAATAATTTATTTAATATATCAGGACTTATAGAACAAGACTTATAACACATTGTCTTTGAATCATGCTTTGAATCGACTTCTGCTGCTCTTTTTCAACAAAAACGAATCCATGGCAACCCTCTGGCAAAATATAATCTATCTGTAAAATCAAATTTTATGACATTTTGCTGGTAAATCGCAAATCTCGTAGAATCATAAAAATCCATTAATAAAGGGTTAGAAAAACGCATACATTGCAAACTTGACGCAAATAATCATTTATTTAATCTTTTTATCAAAAAAAAAACTTGTAGTGTTTTGCTATTCAAATATAGAAATCGCCCACTCTTACCCTATTTTAACAAGGGCTGCATTATAAATCTGTAGCAAGAAACAGTTTATTTGATTTGTTTGAAAAAAGAAGACTTGCAATCTCTTGCTTCTATGAAGCGCTCTATTTAAAGATGTAACAACTACTCGTAGAAAACTAACTACCAATTCCTATCTAATGGGTATTCAACACATATTATAACCTGTAGAAGAAAATATTATCCGTTACAACTAACTCTAATACCCCTGATAATTTATTAAATGTTTATGCAAAATCAAAACTTACAGTGTTTTGCTTTTATGCAAGTCTTCATCGCTCAACTCCGTTTTGCGCTGGATGTTGTTATCGTTCTGCGGGAGGCAGTTTGATTGGCTTAATTGCATTTTGTGCAATTGTTCTTCGATATCGCTCAATTGCAAGTCGTCAGCCAGCCAATAAGAATTCGAATTGGTAGCATGCATCCAAACGGCATTACGATTGCGACACTTATTTAAACTGCAGAGATCAGTAGCAGGCAACAATGTTGTAAATACATTAGCATCTTCACGAAGCGCAGACAACTTAGGCTCATTAGAATAAACAATATTACAACATTGTTGCTGTTGCTGTTGCTGCTTGTGCTGACGCTGCTGCATTTGATCATATTGTTGTCGTTTCTGTTCTTGTTGTTCTTCTTGTTGGTTTTTATTAGTTGTTGTAGTCGTCAATTCATTTGAAATCAGTACATTATCTTCAGCGTTGCTAGTATTTTCTGCATGAACGTTCTTACTACTGATTGCCATTGAAAGGCGCTGAAGAATCGATTTATGGAATGTTGGAGAGTTTGTACTGGCTTCAGATTGTGTTTCACTGGGGCACGATATGCCCGACGAAAGAAATGTGTCATCCAGTATTATACTTTGCACGCTATGCTTGTCATTCTGTTTGGCGCTGTCAGTTGCGGCGGCATGCGTTTGCAAACTTTGACGACTTGTTGAACAACTTCGATCGTAACTAATGAGACTGGACTGTTGTGAATGGTACGACTGATGCAGTGATGTGTGAGAAAGAGCTTGTGCCAGTGATGATGACGACGACGATGACGTTCGTGGTGGTAGTGCCAACGTATTTTCCTGACCTAAAGGCGTTACGCTGGTCTCGGCAGACGATGACGCAAACGTTAATATCGATGAGGATGGTAATGAGGATGCTTTTTGCTGTTGTTGTTGTTGTTGGTGTTGGTGTTGTTGTTTGCTATGGTTTAACGCTAGTGACAATGTCGTGATTGCATTCTTTGGTATATATATGTAAGATGATGAACGATGGTGACTAGATTTGTGACAATTTCTTTGTTTCATGTCGTTGTTGTTGTCGCCAGCTATATTCGTTGTCTGGTCAGACTTGACTTGTAGCAATATTTTCTTTTTAGAACAATTGGCTTTCAATTTTTTTGGTGTCAATCGGGTTGTATTTGTCTTTAATTGTCGGGTCTGGGAAACTTGTGCGATTGAGGCTTGAACGGGAACGCTCTCCTGTTGCAGAGCAGGAAAAACATAAGGAGTGATATAAGGGGTGTAAGAAGCAAAGAAAGCATTTTCCGTCGTCATGCTTTGCTTTAAACGTCGCCGACTACGGCGCACGCTAGGCAAACTGTTGGGAAATAATTTTGCGTTTTTAGTCGTCAACGAGTTTGTGTACTGAAGATCAAGACATTTACTAGCGGTTGATAGTGAGGCGATGTCATCATTTATGAAATGATCCTCTACGCTCACAACATCACAATGATCTAAAACATCATCTAATTGTTGAATGCTTAAGTTTAAGTTGCTGAAAAATTTCAAAACATTTTGAGCGGCACGTTTTCCCAAAGTGGTGGTGGACTTATTTTCAATAGAAGAAGTTTTGTCACACTTGGTCATCATTGCCTTGATGATACCACCATAAGATGAACAATAAATTACATTTCATACCTAATATGCTGTGATAATGATTTCTATACTATTTCTGCATAACGCGGCAAAGCATGATCGCCAATCATTCGCCGCTTATACATGGTTTTGTTTTGTTTACTCGTTTCATATAATTCTCTTATGTTTTTGTTTACAGTCATGGCTTTTTTTGTTTTAAATAAAAACGTATAAGCAACATATTGACTTCGATTAACTCTAACGATCATAATGGCTCTTACGACATTATTGTGCATATTACTGTAGGCTGTAATTACAGTCCGTTCGTTCTACATACGTGATTTGCATTCGAGGTAATCATAACAAAGCCTATGCGATCTCATTATTTAATTATTTATACACACAACACACAATGTTTTTATAGACAAATTGTTTCTCAGAATCGCTACAGAGAACAACGCAAGATACGCAGATATGCGCAAGCACACACACACGCACACGCACACGCACATTTATACGCGGACGCACATACGTAAATTAAAGCGAAGTATGGCAGAATCGTCAGAGACACACCAAAATAATCCATTCAATGTGCACACAGATCTGTATTTATTTTTATTGTACATACATACATATATATGTGTATAAACAAAAAAAAAAAAAAAAAAAAAAAAAAAAAAAATGAAATAAAGACATGTTTCTACATCGCAAGCAAACGTTGTACATTATACCGAACGTAAACATAAGGCAATGGAAAACACGCTCTCAAGCGTCTATGTATCCGTAATTGTACCGTCTGCCGTGATGTTTTACGAAAAACTAAGCAAACACAAAAATTGGTTGATCATTCGCCACAACACTGCTGGCTATCAAGATCGAGTTACGTTGTTTTAACAACACCAGCAACAACAGCAACAACAACAAGAACAAGAACAACAAATAACCAAAAGAAAGTTTTAGCCAAAACAACTTCATATACACTCAAACACACGTGTACCTTTGCTATAGGCATTCATACATACATCCATCCATCCATCCATCCATACATACATACATGCATTCATATATGCATGCATATATATATACGTACACGTACACACGTACCTGTTGAATACAACAAACTCAAATGCACCGGTTTTGCAAAGTTTGGTATACCTCTACTATACGTACATATTTAGAGGTTGTTCAAAAATTTTATAGTGCAAAGTATACGCTTATCTATCTAACTCTCTTCTACAGTGGTCGACTCTCCATGTTTTTTCGGTATATTTTCCAAAACAAAATCGTTGGCCTCTCTCTCTGTTTCTCTGGGTGAGTGACTCCTATAGTTTTCTCTCGATTTATTTATTGCATTTTTCCTAAGCACAATTTTTTAAATGTTGCTTACTTCTAAGTCTGTCTGTTGTACTGAACTCTTTTTGCTCAATTATAACAGAAAAATCGTTTTTTTTTTTTCTTTCGTTCTTTTTTTTCCATTTTAAACTATTGCACGCGTACCTTCATAAATATTTATAAACAAATATTTTTTTCTTGCAAGTAATTCATCCATAATAATAGCAATGAAAAAACACCTTTTAATTGACCGATTTATTGTGGAAATTATAAGTGCAAATGTCTGCCTATGCATGCATGCATGCATTACCAGACATGTTGCATACACATCTATGTATACACTTTAGGTAAGGTAAGTAATCAGTTAACAGTCATTAAACCCTGCCCTACCTATCTTTGTGTCATAAAAATTATAATCAATATCATGTAATATTGTGATCAGAGATTAAGAACGATGCATGTTCTTCGTTGAAGAGAGACAGCGTTTACTTTAGACCCATGCTCACGCTCACGCTCACGGTATTCATAATGCCTATGCTAGAGTAGACCACCTTACAATGCAAGGAAATTTATGTAAAGAATAAGTTAACCCCTTTAACCCTCTGAGATCGTGAGCAGCCTAACCGACTTATGAATTTAACCCGTTCGCATTCTAAGAAAATGATATAAATTTTACTTCTGAACTGAGACAAATAATCGACATAGGGCTGTGTTAAGAGAAGGCTGTGTCACATATATGTGACGGTCGCAACGAACGAGTTAATCTGCTTATCTTATTAGTGAATAAATGCGCATAAACTCTAGAAATAATAATAATAATTTCTCATTTTTACACTTTACATTAATGTATTCGTAAAATAAAATCACATTCTTTCCCGCGAGGCTTTTCACGCCTTTCTGCTTGATTTACTTCATAAAAACCTACAACAATTTAATGGCATTTTGCAATGAAAGTGTTCGCTTTTATACCCCTCACCGAAGAATGAGCGTTATATTCATCTTGTCGCAACGTTTGTAAGGAGGCTCCACTAAGTATATATATATCCTTGATCAGCGTCAAACACTACATCGACTTAAGCATAAGCATCGACCTGTCGGTTGTAAACATTCCTCATTACTCATAAACTAGGTCAGATAAATTTATAAAATTTTTAATTTATTTCCTGTAATACCTATGCAAAAACGGGCAAAATTGACCACGCCTTCCTAATATTATTGCGTGTCAAAATTTAATTTCTTTTCAATATCTCTAGAATGCGCAGAAGCAAATGTCAAAACCTCACCAAATTTATAAATTTTTGCCCAGTTTGAAATACGGAATGCACTTAAGTACGTCCGTCTATCCGCCTATGTATTACCTACAATAAATATCCTCCTGTTCGCAAAAATACAGAAATGGCCTACAAATTTGCAAAAGAATATGAAAATTAAGACACGCCCATAACGTGCAAATTACAACAAAAACTGTCAACACCTTTGCTCGGTTTCTTGCTTGTTACTAGAGTTGTAGAATGCAACACGTACACCATATAAATTTCACATTTTATTCTGAAAATGGAAAAAATCGGCGGCGCCCATCCAACATTATAGAATATAACAATGTAAGTTTTTTCTTTCAGTCTTTTTTAGGACTACGATGATGGGTGTGATTCGGTCACGACGGAATTTTATTGTTTTCATTTTTTCTTGCTATCAGAGACACCCAGAGATATGTAAGTAGAATCGAAAGTTTTTGCATAAACGAAAAAAAAGTTTAAACGGATACAATGAGCGAACACGAGCATTAAAGATTAGAGGAACTCATATTAACAATGCAGTTTCTGATCTCGTCTGTTCTAATATGAAAGCTCAACTCTCTTGACTCGATTGGCTTTGTCTTCAGAAATTACTTTGCTTATTAATCCCTTTTTACCTATGACATATTCTGCGAATCTTTCCCGCAGAAGCCTTTCATCGTTTTTAGCAAATTTTTTAGATTTCTTAGAAAATAGCATAGTTTTCAGACAAACTCGTCTTATCGAATGTAGGATTTTCGTAACAATATTGAAAATCACACTGTTTTACCTAAAAAAATTTATTTCCATATAAATGCATTTATATGGCAGAGTGAGTCAGAAAACGGTCGCATCCCCTGCAATTATTCCTAGACGGTTTATAGCATATCAACTATTATTTTTCACCGAGTTTTTCAAAAAAAAGAGTTAAACATCGGAGATTTTTCTTATAAGAATGAGATTAAGAATTTTCCAAAACTTATGAAACAGCTTTCTTTCTTGATGGGTCGGTCAAATCGTATCCAAATATTTCGAAATTTTAGAAAATACGGCTTGAATGCGACAATAAATGCCTCGGACGGATGGACGATCGGTGGGGTAAAATGAATTAACGTCAAATCCTTCTGGATGTCGCATACGTTCTAACAAACGTAATATGCCGTTAGTAAAAACTCCCGTAGGATCAGAACTAGGCAGAAAACTCTCTACTTAAACTATTCTCAAAAGCTTACCACTATTTTTGCCTATATCTCTAGAAGCGCGTAAATTCTATATCGTCAAAATAATCCTATTATTTGGATTATTCGCTTAGGGTGAGTTCGAGCTTGAATTCGCGAAATTTTTGCCCTGACAGCCATTGACTTGATATCCCATTTATTTGCTTCCATTGCGAATGAACATCCCATTCTCCAATTTCCACGGAAAATGAGCGAATGCACTACCTTCTCGTATCCCTAGGGTGTGAGCTTTTCTCAATTCACTTTTTGACTATCGAAAATAACCTTCCCTGTTGGCCGTCCACAACATCGTCTAGCATCGACGTTTAAAATCAGCATATGTCACGGGCAAATTGTAATGTTCCACGAAGAACTGTTAT